CTGATATCAGTAAGGCTATAAGCCCTAAACCCTGAACCCTAAAACCCAAAACCCTCTAAGCCCAGCTATATTGAGTTTCAAAGTCCCATGACCCTCCAAGTACACCTTTGCCTGCAAAGCAGACCCTAGAGTGATAAGTCTTGCTTCAAGTGGGTTGTAACAGAAATAAAGGGGTTTAGGGTTCAGGATTTAGGGTTTAATGCTTAGGGTTAAACTTACAAGTCTTATAAACTATCATTGCGGGACATATAAGTGACATTACGTTCCTGAAAGTACCACCCTGCAGACATCCCGCAACTCCAAAATGGCGACAAAAAAAGCTCACGATCTCAAGAGATAAACACGACCTTGCAATCTTAGGCTTTGGGGCCTCAAGGTCTCAACCCGGGATGTGTATGGTTGAGCAAACCCCATACGGTGGATGAAGGAAGCCTTGCATCACTTAGAATCCCCCAAATATACCGTAGTGCCCAGGCTTTAGGGTATAAGGGATAGAGCGTGGTGGAAGATATCCTCTATCCAAAATGGCACTAAGTACTTGCCCCAAACCCTAGAACCTAAAACCTGTCTAGTACTTGCAGCCGGCGACTTTTGCCATGCACTACTCATCGATCTCAACGACCTCACAGCGGGCGCGCTTTGAGGCCTCGTGCGGCGCGATATCCCTACCCTGACGAACCCTGCAGCTTCAACCCTGGAAAACAAGACCCAATACCCTAAACCCTAAACCCTGAAGAGTTTTAGAGTTCAGGGTTTAGGGTCTACAAACTTCCGGGTTTGAGGTTTAGGGACCCTAAGCTGCATTGACCCTAAGTAGCTGACTCCTTGAGTAGAATGGTACCATAGTATACGAAAGTCATGCAAGATTTTCAGTATCAACAGAACTCTCCAAAGTTTCTGTCCTTTATTTCCGGTTGGGTTCTCCATTATGGTATGTTAAACAACCTCATATATACCCCGAACCCTAAACCCCTTCAAATCCTGCGTCCTAAGCCCTACCCTAAGCCCTGAACCTCAAAACGAGAAGCTAGTCAAAAGCTTGCAGCGGGTTTGGTTCAGGCTTCCAAGGATTTTGCTTAGAGTTTCGGGTGGAAGGCATAGGGTTTGGGGTTCAGGGCTTTTCAGATTTATGGCGCAGGGCTAGGGTTTAGAGCTCAAGTTTGTGGACTTCACACACGGAGTTTATGCCAGAAATAGGATTTTTGGGCACGTCCATGTGACCTATAGTCGAGACTCCTAGTATCCTCCTGAATAACCCCTATAGTACTTCCCTATCTAATCCCCTATATAACCCCCTTTAAGGAGTTTAGACTATAGCTCATGCAGAAAATCTGGCGTTCAAACAGCTGGGGGGCTGGAGAGTAATGAGCATTGTCTTTCACGAGAAGCACCTACCTAGACCCTGGATGTCCTTTACACAGTGTAGAAACACCCGAACAATGAATAACACTGCTTGGTAGACCCCAACCCAAAGCATTGGGACTAAATAGCTATCGTGCTGTAAATCCTCAAAACCCTGCATGACCCTTGTATACTGCCAGGCTTTTTGTCAGGTATGAAGTTTTGTATGAACTGTATGAATATTGATTATACGTTGCTCCTTGGACCCTAAACCCTGAACTTTGAACCTCTAAACCCTAAAACGCTGAAGCCATCGGTTCCGGCGCCTTGCCGTCGCTGACTGAGGCCACTCTCTTGGCCAAGCGAAATTCCCGGCGGATTTCCTGCAGCAAGGTGTTCATTGCTTGGGTCACCTTAAATGGCATTCTCCAGAGTCGTGTCGGGTACCTTCCTTAGCCAGAACTATGGGAGTATACAAGTGGGTGTTGGGCTCAAGGTTGGCGGTTGTGCCGAGGGCACAAGATTTGGGGTTTAGGGTTTGTAAGGTTTGGGGTTCTGGGGTTATTGAATGGGTTTTAAACGCTGCAGTTTCAAGGCTTTGGGCTTAGAGGGCGCACTAAGCCAACAAAAACGCCTTCTCTCATAAATTGAACCGCAAGGGATGAGCGAACGGCAAAACTCACCTTTAGAATCCGAACCACAAACCCCAGTGAGGCAAACCGACAATGCTGAATTCTTCTTCTGCTCTTAAATCTTGGTCAAGAAGCCTTTTACAGATAGGAACCCCATAAGACTCCTAGAACGTGTCTATGCTCGCCCCCTGGTCTTTGTAGCTTTCGTAGAGACACAAAGGAGGCTCGTAAAGGATTGTGCGACTTTTTTCATGGGAGGAATCGGCTGCAACCCTGTGGCTCCAAAACGAAAGCACAGACCCTACCCAAGGGCTCCCATGTAGTTCCTTTTAGGGTTTGTTACAAACTTTTGGTAAAGGGCTATAGTATACTTCCCAAAAAGGAACTGCATAGGAGGGTCTGGGTAAACACCCCCATCCCCAAAACTAACGTTGAATCCCAAAGCATGGCTCAGAAAGGACTATAGCCCTCCTGCCTGCGAGCTATATGTGCTTTGGGGGAGGGCAAGGAGGGCTTCATATGGATTCGCTAGGGAGGAGGGAATAACGGGGTTATGACCCGGTTCTACTCTCCTGGAAACTAACATGGAAACCCAAAAGGGGCCCTATAAAGCCTAAAGTCTCTCTAAAATGGGGCTATATGGGTTTCCATGTTAGTTTGGGGGAGTGTAACTGAAGCGTTTCCTACCTAGATCTGCCGTATACCCTTCAACCCTATCCCTCACACGATCTCTTTCGGGGCATGAAGCCTGGCAACCTGTACTGCGAATCTAAGCCCAAACCGTAAACCCCTAAACCCTAAACCCTTAAAACTCCTGAACCCTAAGCCGCTGGTCCAGCTACCCAAATGTTGGGGCTTCAGGAAAAGCACATGCTAAACCATTATAGTGTAGTGTCCAAAAGGGAACCACATAAGAGGGTTTGGGCATACCCTCAGCCCTGAGCCCTAAACTGATTACTAGTTTGTACGTTTCGAATCCCGAGTAGAATGCTTTGCCGCACTATAGCGGCCGATGTCAAAGGCGCTTTAGGGTTTAGCTAAACTGCTCTTTCAACCATTTGTCACGACAGCTGCTGCAACAAAGACCCGTCAGGCCTCTTAAATGTTCAACGTCTTAAGCCCTAAACTCCAAACCCTAAACCCTAAGCCCCAAACCCTAACCCCCAAACCCTAAACCCCCAAACCCTAGCCCCCAAAACCCTAAACCCCGAACCCTAAACCCCCAAACCCTAAACCCCAAACCCTAAACCCCAAAAACCCTAACCCAAGCCTCTTGAATGTTCAAAGGAAGCTCTGCCAACACATTCTCGTCCACAGCTGGGGCCTGCGTCCATGATGGCAACGTCTGATCTTGTTTCCCAAAGGTTCGGTTTAGGGTTTAGGAACCCAGAGGGTCCATGTATCCAATAATTAGGTATTGGGGTTTTGGGTAGTTGTGGTTATAGTACAGCTTTTGGGCAAGTATATGAATATTAAGTACTTGGACCCTTAGGGGAGCAATGTAGGGCTTCTATCTTATGAACTCATGGCATGGTGTAGGTTAGTAGTCCCGATTTTTGTACGTAGGAATCTTTGGCGTTTAGGACGAAGTATCAGACTTTTTCACAGCCTCAGGGACGAAGCAGCCACCACACGACTTAGGGTTTCTAGGGTTGGGGGATAAACCTAAGCCCTAATCAACCCTCCCCCCTGAACTGAAGAAGAGGATCCCATGCCTACCCTAAACCCTCAGCCCCTAAACCCCTACACCCTTAACCCCTAAACCCTCAAACCCTAAGCTCCTAGACCCCTAAACCCTAAGCCTTTTATGAGAAGCTCAGTGCCTCCACGGGAACTGGCATGTTGAGCGCAGTCCGCACCACCTCCTTCAGGAGAGTTTATATGAAAAATCCTGCGTGACCTTACTATACTAGTTTAGGGTTTAGGATTTAGGGTTTAGGGTTTAGGGTCCCTAAACCCTAAACACAAAACCCCCCAAAACCACAAAACCCTAAATCAGAAACCAGGGTTTAAGGTACTTGGGGCCATGCAGGACTTTTTGTAGCCACCGGTGCTGAAGCCTCGACCCTAGGGTTTAGGATGTTCGGTGTAGGGGTTTAGGGTTTAGGACTTACATGGCCTCCCGGGTCGGGGTGGGTGGGGTCCCCTGAAACAGGCGGCCCGCCTATTTCCATGATGCATGAGCCATGGGGTTCCCTGGACCACGCTTCCGGGAGCGAGCTGATGCAGAACCAAGCTTGGGCAATTCCCCCCCTTTATCTGTGTGGGTGGGCAGGTCCCCCACACACGGGTGGGATTCGAAATAAGTGTGGGGTCCTATTGTTCGGGAGATCCGTGGTTTCGTAGAGGATTCTTGAGGATTGGTAGAACAAGGTACCATAATCTACCATACCTATGCTATCCTATACTATACTAGGTATGTAGAGATCTGCCCAGGCTTCTGGCAAGAGGTAGGAAATAGGCGGTTCTGGGGGATGCTGCTAGCAGGGACAGGACAAAGCGTGGTGTGCCCACCCCATCAGGCCATGTTTCAGGGTTTAGGGAGTAGGGTTTAGGCTTTTAGGGTTCAAGGGGGTGTAGGGTTTAGGCTTCAGGTTTACTGATTTTCAGCCCATGTTTTTAAGGTTTGGTGTTTAGGCTTTAGAGTTCGTTTAGGGTATAGGGTTTTAGGGTTTAGGGTATCCATGCTTTCGACTCGGGTACCTGGGTGAATTTTGCAAGGTTCTCAATATCGACTGCAAGGTACAGGGGCTAGAAATGTTTTAGGGTTTTTATCAAGTACCTATGCGTACGATGGGAGTCCAAATTGGCTCAACGTAAGTAAAAGTTTTGACTTTAGGGCCCATGTTAGGCATCATATATAGATTTAGAGCCCCAGCGTATTGAGTCTCAGGATATACACACAAGAGTAAAAAGTGCCATAGTTATAATGACCGAGCCAAATCCCATTTCAACCCTTCACCCTGTGCCTACAACCCTAAGCACTAAACCCTCAACGCTACTTCAAGCCTTTGAGACAATGATCTCCTTCTCGGCGCCGCAGGTCGCAACAGATTTCCCGCTGCCTCCTTCGAAAGTACTCTGCCCCGAACTAAGATGGAAACCTTTTAGACAGCTTTTTAGGGATTATCTGGGGTGTACACGGGGATGTAAAAATGTTCCATATGAGAAAAAGAGATGAAAGACAGATAGTAAGTTAGATGGACAGATACAGATCGATAGATAGATAATTCAATAGATAGATAGATCGATAGATAGATAGACAGATAGATAGAGTGAAGCATTAATCTAGGGTCTAGCATACTTATGCATTCCTCAACAATCCCATGGAGCTCCTTAGGGAGCCCAGCGCTTTAAAGCTTGCAGTCTTTGAGGGAAGCGAGGGTCCATGCTTGTTTGACAGACGGTAGCACGGCTCATGGCTCAGGATTTGGGCTTCAGCTTTGTAGGTTCAGGGTCTAGGTTCAAGGTTCATTGGGTTTATGCAGCTCAGGGTTTACTTGACCACGCAGCACCCCGACCCTCCAAACTCTTCGTCCCAAGCCTAGCGTGGGACCCCATGTGCCCAGCCCCCCTCCTTTTCAAGGATAAGCCTTAGAGTTTAGGAGCCCCCTGACCCTAAACCCTAAACCCTAAACCCTAAACCTTAGGAGCCCCCTGAAACTACAAGTGGCCGTCGCCTTTGCTTTGTCGCCTGCCGAAGAAGCTTGCGATGGGGTTCAGTGCCTGCAAGCGAAACAGTTGTTAAGCGTATTTCAGGGTTTACAAGCAAGTCCTAAAGTATGGGTCATACTACTTAAGCCCCAAAGCACTATTGATGGAGGAAACCTTGCACTAGTTTTGACCCCCAAGCTACTGAAATTCCCATGACTTATGCGCGTCTTCCATCGAGCCCTAAACCCTATATCCTGAACCCTAAACTCCCAACCCTAAACCCTAAACCCTAAACCCTAAACTCCCAACCCTAATCTCTACACCATGTTATTCCTAAATATGGCTGAGTTGTCCAACATACCCAAGCAGGACATAAGTAGAGCTTCCGCACCAACAATATGCGTACAGCAAACCCTCAAACCTTAACCTAACCCTATAAGCCCCAAACTCTAAGCCCTAAAACCTGAACCATGAACCCAAAACTCATTTCTAAACCCCAGGAATATGTGTGTATATATATATATATGCATGCCTACGCACATATCTATGTATATATATATATACATATATAGATTTGTGTTTGTGTGTGTGTGCGCATATGAATCACTTGCACCCCTGGATGAAAGCCTGGAATGTTAGAAGTATTGCGCTTTTGGCTTTGCGAGCTGGCTGCATGAAACTTTTCTTCACTAAATTCGCCCATACATACAATCCCTGCGCATCCCGCTACAGAACATCTATACAAACCCAGATTCGGTTTCATGTTTCATGTGGTCTTCCAGTTCACTCTCCATTCTTTTCTTCATGTAGCCTTTTACTCTAAGCCCTGAATGAAGAACACTAAGCCGCAAGCATTCCAAAAACCTAACCCCTTAATGTAGATTGCTACAGAACCCGGATAACCCTTCAACAATGCCTCTGCATGGTTAGAATCCCTGAACCCTAAACCCTAAACCCTACCCTTAAACCCCGCCTTTGGCTCCACGGAGTCTTTGCATGGAGCAGGCTCCACAGCTGGTGTGGGATCGCTTGCGCCTTGCCATCTTCGGAAAACTAAAGGAACCCTAAGGCTCCAAGGACTCATAATATAAGGCTTTTGGGCCCAAAGACCATACTATACAAAGCTTTTGGGCTATTTTGAGCCTTAGGGGAAGAGTCCCTGGTTTTTGGGTTCACAGTCCCCCTTAAGTAGAAAGGGTATGGCTTTGGGTATAGTATAACAAGATCCCCATATACCCCATATTCTATCTACTTAAGGGGGATGAGAGGATTCAGGGTTTCCAACTCGAGGGGCCGTGCCTGGACCACCCAAAAGAAGGGAGAACAATGATCTTTTCCCTAGGCCTCCATGTCTATGAATACCCCCAGGTCTGTAAACACTGCCTACATTGGGCTGTTTGGAGCCTTAGAGCTTTGACCCTTTGCATGTTACCACTTTTGAAGTCAAGGGTTTTTCCCTTGTTTCCGAGGGCTTCAGGTCGACAAATGTTTTATCGCTATGAGATTAAGTCCCTTTAGGGGTTTAAGACCTAAGGACTCAAGGGTTAGTGTGCGGTACGTAGAGTTGAAACTTCGTGTTTTGGGGCTTAGGGTTTAGGTACATTATGCCCAGAGGTCAAAGGTATGTATTCAAAGCCTGAATGACGAGTACTAATGCAGCAATCCCACAGTTTCAGTTTGTAGTATACTGGACCCTTTAGGAAAGAAGCATAACTCTAAGGGTCCAAGGACCCAAAGAATAGGGTTTAGAGCCCAGATACTATAGTATTCACGTCAGTTGGGCCCTGAAACTCTATTATTTGGGTCCTTTGACCCTTAGGGTAACATAGCTACTATCCCTAAAAGATCCCGTGCAACTCCAGTTACAGTTTCCATTGAAAAGTGAATTCTCTCTTCCAATTGCTTCTCGATCCGTGGAGTGCTGCTGGGGTTGGGGGTTGAGGGTTTAGGGAAAACAAGTCTTGCTCCACTCCAGGTCCCATCCTCCCTACAAACTGCGGTCTATTCGGGGATCCCAAGTATTGCACGAGTTCTAGAATCCCCGTATGCTGGGCCGGTCGGTTGAACCTGTAGGGCAGAGGGATAGGTTTGGAGGGGGCCGGCATACCCTGAGGGTCGAAGTACTTAACAGTCATATACTTATCCAAACTCTGTACGACAGTTCGTATTACCAAAATCCCAAGTATCTAATTCTTGAGTACTTGGACCCTGAGGGATAAAGAGTTCATTGTTCAGGGTGTACCATTTCAACTTTTTGTAAAAGCTTCCCGCTTGGGGTCGTTTAAGTACTCCTTAGGGTTTATGGGTTTGGTGTTTAGGGAACTAGCATGCAAAATCGTAAGTGCTCAGCAAAGAATCGTTCACTAGAGAACATATGCATTGCGCTGGATGAAAAACCACTTGGACCACTTGAGCTCCCCAATACACCCGCGATTCCCAGAAAGTATGGGACTCAGGGTGGTGCGAGATTACCACCATCAACAGTACTAGGTGGTTTACATTCCTCGGAAACACACGCAACATCGTGGAATTTGTACGGTGGATGGCGAGGTCCTGCATGAGCCAAATGTATTGGACTACAATATCATGCGCACAGGGTCGCGCAGGGTTTCGCCCATCGAACGAAACCCTGAAACCCAAAACACAAACAACAACCTGGACCCCCCTCAGTACCCCAAATGCCAACACATGAAATCTGCAATTGAAGGGTAGTTGGGGCGTGGAAGACCATAGCCCTAAACCCTGAACCCCAAGCCCTGAACCCTTGTATGCTAATCTGGGTTCTTGTTAACATACAATCAAAAGAGATCTTTTGTTTATTGATCTTGGGCCCAGGTATCCATAAAAATGTAAAATTTGTTCTACAAGACCCTAAGCCCTAAACCTTCAAACCCTAAACCCTAAACCCTAAACCTTTGAGCTATCAGCTGGCCTCTGCTCTTCCCGAAATACTTTGTCAGGGAGCTTTTGCCAGCCTTCACTTTGCTGTCTTTAGGGTTTAGGGTTTAGGGTTTTAAGGGTCTAGGGTTTAGGGTTTAATTACGGTTTAGAGTTTAGGGTTCACTCCTGTTCACAGACCTTGGGATTGTAAACAGCAGCAAACGGCGTCCCACGAGCGCGAACAACAGGAACCCAAGCAGAGGAGCCGGTGGCCGACGCATTGCTATCAAACGCAGGCAGGCTTTTAGCTGTTTCTTCGGCGCTGGCTTGAGATGGCAAATTGCCGTAGTTCGAAGCGTGTCATTTGGGGGTTCGAGGAAGTCCGGACCTAAGGCCAGGGTTCTACATTGCGGTTTCCACTCTTTGGAATTTGGAAACCTCAGTTGAACCGTAGTCTAAACTCCAAGTATCCCCCTTAATAATCCCTATAGTAGTCCCCTATATAGCCCCCTATATAACCCTTTTAAGCAGTTTCGACTATAGCTAAATTGACAATGAGGATGTCAGAGCTAGCTAAACCAAATGAAGGGCGAGGAGAGACAGGCTGGAGTGATGCATGTATATCCCTCAAAGGGAGAGGGTTAAAGCCTAAACCCTAGAGACCCCCTTAAGTAGATAGAATATGGCTTTGGGTATATCATAAAAAGATCCTCATATACCCCACATTATACTTAAGGGGGACTATAGGGCTTGCGCTTAAGGGTTAGGACGTCCACCAAGGTACTGCGTCCTAGGCTGTCACAAGCCGTAGACCCTAAACTGTACTTGGAAGGCCAGGGGGATTTCGTAAGTAGGTTAATGCTGGGGTTGTTATAGCATGGCTTATAGGCGTTAGCGGTATAAGTATAAAGTACCCCTGACCCTCCAAGCAATCCTTGAACTGGATTGAACACAAGTCTGAGATGACAGGTCCAATCATGTGAGAATGCAAGTGCTGGATGGAACATGGTGGTGTCCAAGAATGAGGGGTCCTTGCCATAAGGATGATAGCATGTTGGGGTATATATTAGGGTCTCCCTCATTTGCCGAGAAGGCCACAAGACTGAGCATCAGCCGTTTGCAGACTCAGGCTTCAGCCACAAACGGAACCCTGAACTACACAGGCGCACTCAACGAGGCATTGTAGAAAGTCATGACATGGCGCTTATCCAAAGGTCAGTCTCAGGTACTCCTTCTGGAGCATCAGAGCCTGAACTGAGCTGTGTGTGTAGATAGACGTGATCAAGAGAAGCTCGACAGAGTCTCAAGCCCTTTTTACGCTGCTTCATGAGTATTGCCCAAAACCTGGAACCCCACATAGGAGTTTCCCAAAATTAGGGGCACCATTTTGGGGGTCCAAATAAGAAGGATTATAGTATTCTGGGGTCTATATACAGAAACCCGCAAACCCTATCACAAGGACTCCCTAAAAGGGACGCTGAACTTATGGAACTCCTACACCTTAATCCCCAGACCCTAATTACCCCTATGACCCCTGACTAGCCCCCCCATACTTTCATCCCCGGACGCCTTTTCACCCCTAAAACCACACGGGTTTAGGGTTTAGGGTTTCACTAACCCCCACATATCACAGAGCGGAAATATGGACACCCCCCTTTTGATGTACAAATCCTGTGCCACCCGGCGCCTCTAGGCGCTGTTCCAGACGCCGTGCTGCCTCTTCTGTTTGCCTTCAAGTCGGATGCGGGCTTAGGATTACCTTAAACGCTTAGGGTTGAGGGTCTAGGGTCCCTCAAACTAACATGAAACCCGAACATGGGGCTACTGTCTTTCCAACTACGTTCCAACGAACTACGTTCTATATGACGTTCCATGTTAGCTTGCAGGAGACTAGGTGGAAGTGGTCAGTCGGTGAGAGATTTTTGGATGCTTAGGGTCAAAGGAACTTTACAAGTTTTTGTGTTGCGGATTAAAGGTTTTGAGTTTTGGGGGGAGATGCCCAGATAGGGGGCTCCTGTGCATCGTGTATCCACATAGTCCCTACCATAATGTAGGGAGCCCCATGCAGCGACAGACAAAGTCGGGTTCTGCTTGGAGATTCTGCATGCTGAGCATGTGGCCTTTTGACCTCTTGGTTCCGTCGTGGGATAAAATTAAGAAGTATGATACTTAAAAACGACAAAGTCTTGGCACTATGTCTTATGCTGCAAACTCAATACACATAGCCAAGAAAACTAGCGAAATCCTAAACCGTAAACCCTAAGAGCTGCAGCATCGGGCTCGAGGACTCGGATCTGGGGGCTTACAAGCATTAGGGATCCTTTTGCACGAGCTGCTATCATACCTATACCAAGGACGACATCAAATTGTAAGCGTACAAGGGGACCCCATTTTTCGGAAAGCCCATCTGGGCCGCTTAGGATTACTTAGGATTCGACATTGAGTTGAAAAAAGTCGCGCAACTTCATGGGCCTCCTGCGGCTGTAGCCTAAGTAGCCCGTCCCTATTCCAAAAGCACCTACCCCTGTTCCCCTAAACCCTAAACCCTTAACACCACTGTGTTGCGCAGCCACCATGTTCATCCTGCAAATCGGATTCCAGGCACGGGCAAGGGGCCCAGCGAGGCCCTTCCCTACACTTCAAAACCCTGAACCCTTTAGGGTTTAAGGTTTAGGGTTTAGGGTTTAGGGAGCCTCCTTAATGAGGGAATATACCCTCAATCACATAATGAGGTAAGGCGTACCCAGGACGCTGAACCCAAAACCCTGAACCCTGAACATTCCCTAAAGGGATATTGGGCTCTCAGGAAAGGGAAGGGTTAATTTCGATACCTTGCCACGCTCCGCTGGCAGATACGACTTGGAAGGTCTGGGGAACTCAGTAAGTTACCTACTTACTAACCCCCCGCAAGTACATCTTCAACTTCTATCAGGCATGCTAAAGCTCAACACTCTAGTTGTTTCTGTAGCTATATGCTTTGTATGATAATTTCGAAAACTCCCAAAAAGCAGAAAAATGGGCCCAGGTCAAAGGCATGCAAAGGTGCCTGCAACGCGTCAGGCAATGCGGAAAACACTAAACGCCTGAACCGCCCAACATAATTCTACGGCCCCCCCCCCTATTTGCCCGCACCAAATACCCGCTAATCAGAATGTGCTGCGTATAGCAGTGTTTTG